TAGCTATTTTTATCAGCAGTATTGTACAGAGCCAGCAAAGTCTACAATATAATTCACCTTGAAGAGGAGGAGCTGGAAGGCATTTGTTTAATTAGCAAGGATGGGAGTCAGGGGCTGGGAAGACGCCTGGCTCTGTCTCAGAAGAGCCACCATGAGCTCACTGAAAGCATGAGAGAATCTAAAACCTTTCCATGTAATTGGGTGTCTAGCACAGATTAGGGAGAATTCACATAGGCACTTGGACTTGAAAAAAATGGCCTACCCTGCAGCCCTCGCCCTCTAAGCAGGAAAACAGGAGACAAATACTCATGTATTTGGTACTTCAGATGTTTAATCCAGAGATACACAGACAGCTTTGAGAAATTCAAATACACTACAGCAAACAAAGGCTTCTTGGGGTGGGAGTAACAGCACAGAAGGATCTGGGTTATGAGCAAAGGTGTGCGCTGCCAAACTACCAGCGATCAGGTCTGTAGGGCTGGATGGTGAGGGCGAGTCTGAAGTTTTTACTGGGCAGAAGGGTCCTTCATGGCAGCGGCAGGGAGCACAGCTGGGGGCGTCTTCTGGCCAGGACCGGCTGTGATTTTAACACCCAACTCTACAGAAATCAGCACCGTCACCAGGTAAGAACAGTGACTAGTCCTTTATTTTTAAAATGTTCTGGGCAAAACCTTTGCCATCCAATGTGTTTATAGAAGATCTGGGAATGCTCTCACTGTAAAATAGGTGTCACTGCAGTTAATATTTGAACTAGGGATATTAACAGGGCACATCGAGCAAAAGGACTTTGCAAAATATTGCAAAACTGGCAGTTTGCCTTAGTGACAGCGAAACCCACTCCGGATTGCTTCTACTTCTCTACTTTCATGTTTAACTGATGGAAACGAAGCTTTCAAGACTGCAACAATAGGCAGAGTTTTACCTTTGACAGCTGGGAAAACACCGATTAAGTTGCCTTCTGTCCTTTCTTTAAGAGTTTGCTCCTGCGCGGGGCGGGGCCGGGGCCGGGTGTCCGGGACCGAGCCCGAGAGCGAGGGGCCGGCGGGGCGCGCGGGGCAGTCCCGGAGCAGGGCGGGGCCT